GAAAGATGCTAAGCTTTCAGTCAGGCTTTGAGTAGTTGGAAACTTGAACAATAAACATGACAAAAACCTTGCCGAATGGGTCTTTATAAGTACTGTGTATCATGAAGTATAAATATTAGAAACCAAATACTCACTGCATGGAATGTTTTAACAGGTTTTAAAATACTGATAAGAAAATGAACAATTTCTTTTGAGTCTATTGCGAGGTATGTTAAATTCCAATATGGCGGCGGCTTTCTTCCCAACAACGATTAATTGATCTCTTTGACAAGTTTTGAGTTTCGGTGTTGACTTCAGATGCATTTGACTTCATCTCATTTGACTTCATACAGTCAGTTTGCATTGTATGTCAGTTTTAAGTAAGTGGGTACTGATATTCGAAGGCTTGTGTGAACTATAACTTTGCTAAGATCGCATCGTGGACCGGCCCGTTCCGAAAACTACGCTGAGCATCTTTTATTTTGATTTCCTTCATTGTCAACTCTTTTTAACCTTCATAGAGGTCGTCGAAGCTACGTAGTTTTTACCACGAGGCCGATCGCTTTTGAAACGAAGATTGCAGACTGTCGAAATCGCGGGCGCTACCACTTTGAAGCAGGAAAATCACAACAACACCAAAAACCAGCAGCATTTTAAGACATGGTCTTCCACAGGAAGCCCATGTAATCAGAACAGTGTACAAGACATAACTTCATGGATAAAATAGAGGATATTACATGGCCGCACGGTTATACAGATTTTACCTTCGAGTGTTGAAAAGATCTCTCACGAGTGAGCGTAGCGAATGTAATAATATTCTGTTTATCATATAATTAGATATGAAAGCAAATTATGTCGTAAAATACCTTTTTTCTTACTTCCACTATATAGAAAAACCTCGAATGTGTTATTTTCACTAGTGAAAATATCAATTTTGCGTAATGGAGAAATATAGGTATTTCATATATAATTATATGATAAGTGTGTYTTACTCACAGCAGATCCAGTGATAATATGAACAGGTGCACAAGGGTTAGTGTACGGTGCTTCACGGGTACTGTTGCACACCTGAAAGCAATATGATTCAATTTTTATTTAATAGATTTCTTTACAAATTATTAGAGCATCAATTAAGAATACATTTTAGTGACTTTACCTGTCTTTTGTACACAGGAAATAACCGTTCATAGGAATGCTCATGAGCCCACAACTCGATATCAACACCTTAAACAGATCAAAGGACACAAATCATAACTACCCTTTTACTTCCWTTAGAAGACAAAMGTCTACATACCATGCTGGTAGAAGAGATCTTCAAGGGCATACTTATGGTCCTCACCCATTCCAGTACGAATCTACAAACAACGAATAGTTATTCATTGTCCATTATAAGATATATTAAATACACAAATGCAAGAAAATACTGCCTATAATTATTAACCTAGTAAGAATACATTTGACATAAACTATATTCAACCTTTTCACTTTCAATAGGACAAATTTATCCATTTTGCATAACAGTCTTTGTCTGCTAACTCCAAAACTATCATTCTGGATCTTATTTGAGAAGAACAGTCACTTAATTGAACAAGGTGAAATCCRTGCAGCACACTTTTATGTTGGACAAAACTCAACCTTTGAAGGAAAGTTCAATCCTTCTATACTTTGCACTTCTAATGTTAGAAGTCAAAACTTGCAGAAATAAGCATGCTAGGTAGCAAAGTCAGCCAGGGAGTCTCTCCAATAGCACCATTGCTTCAAAAACAAAGGTTAATTTTCTTTGTAAAATCGTGCAAGTCAAGTTCAAATCTTTGTAAAATGATGCAAGTCTAGGAGATCTTGTGTGGAAACTTGACTTAATAAAAAAAACACTTRTTAAAAAYGTTTTTAGCTGTATCTTGATCAAGCTGATTGCTAGCCAAAGACAAACAAAAGTCTAAGAGAAATCCCTGGACACTGTCAGTATCATCAAAATACTTACAATACTCTCATGTTTTGAGCAATCATCACGGTCATTATTAGAACAATACATTGGACGATGAGCCATGGTGATGATCCATGGACGAAGGGTTCTGTTTTCTGGTGCTGATGCTTCCTGAAATATAAGTGTGCTTCAGGATTTCATCCTTTTCTATTCAATCTCTTTTCTATTCAGGAAAATTATAGTATTTTATAGTCATTTGAATGCAACCATGAGGAACTTTGGAATGGAATGTTTGTAGCAAAGCAAAGATTCCYGTGAAAGCTGTATAAATACTTCACCTGAAACCAATCAATCTTCCTTTAAAAAGCACTCTAGTAAATATGATGCTTTCAGTTTGCATAATTTTCACAAAAATAATTATTATAAATTATTATTTGAGTCACACACTTCTAGCATTCCACATATTRTATTCTGGTGTGTTCTTGTTTGTTTGCTTATTTTTCAAATGACTTTAACTTGTTTTATCAATAATATATTATTTCTTTTCTCATCCCTTTTCTTCTCTTTTCTGTTTCATTTTCCTGACACAACATTCTCATTTCTTTCATCATCTTGTTTTCACTAGTACATGTATCAATGACACCTTGGATTCGACAATCAGAATACAGGTAGCCATATTTCTCTTTCATTTACCTTGAGATCTTTCTCCAGCCATGCAAACTGCTCACCAACTTTATCATAGCCTTCTCGGTCTCCAAAAAAGTAGAATTCCGAGGAGAAACTTATCAGATGAATTGGACCAATATTGATGCTTAAATTAAAGACAAAAGTAAAATTTTCATTTTTATTTTATTGCAATGTATATTCTACAAGCAATCAAGCATTGATCATAATCATCAAGGAAGCAGCTTACCTGTAGTACATATTTTGATTATTATCAAACAAAGGCATAGTAAACCTGAATCTGTAGTTGGAGAAATTACTGCAAAACAATGTCAAGTTTCAGGTGAAAATGAAAAAATTCAA